ATCATCATTAAGTTACCTATTATCATCATTAAGTTACCTATTATCATCATTAAGCTACCTATTATCATCATTAAGCTACCTATTATCATCATTAAACTATCTATTATCATCATTAAGCTACCTATTATCATTATTAAAATATCTATTATCATCATTAAGTTACCTATTATTATCATTAAGCTACCTAATATCTTCATTAAGTTACCTAATATCTTCATTAAGTTACCTATTATCATCGTTAAGTTACCTATTATCATCATTAAGTTACCTATTATCATCATTAAATTTCCTATTATCATCATTAAGCTTCCTATTATCATCATTAAGTTACCTATTATCATCATTAAGCTACCTATTATCATCATTAAGTTACCTATTATTATCATTAAGTTACCTAATATCTTCATTAAGTTACCTATTATTATCATTAAGTTACCTAATATCTTCATTAAGTTACCTATTATCATCGTTAAGTTACCTATTATCATCGTTAAATTTCCTATTATCATCATTAAGTTACCTATTATCATCATTAAGTTACCTATTATTATCATTAAGTTACCTAATATCTTCATTAAGTTACCTATTATCATTGTTAAGTTACCTATTATCATCGTTAAGTTACCTATTATCATCATTAAATTTCCTATTATCATCATTAAGTTACCTATTATCATCATTAAACTATCTATTATCATCATTAAGTTACCTATTATTATCATTAAGTTACCTAATATCTTCATTAAGTTACCTATTATCATCGTTAAGTTGCCTATTATCATCGTTAAATTTCCTATTATCATCATTAAGTTGCCTATTATCATCATTAAGTTACCTATTATTATCATTAAGTTACCTAATATCTTCATTAAGTTACCTATTATCATCGTTAAGTTACCTATTATCATCGTTAAGTTACCTATTATCATCATTAAATTTCCTATTATCATCATTAAGTTACCTATTATCATCATTAAACTATCTATTATCATCATTAAGCTACCTATTATCATCATTAAGTTACCTATTATCATCATTAAACTATCTATTATCATCATTAAGCTACCTATTATCATTATTAAAATATCTATTATCATCATTAAGTTACCTATTATTATCATTAAGCTACCTAATATCTTCATTAAGTTACCTAATATCTTCATTAAGTTACCTATTATCATCGTTAAGTTACCTATTATCATCATTAAGTTACCTATTATCATCATTAAATTTCCTATTATCATCATTAAGCTACCTATTATCATCATTAAGTTACCTATTATTATCATTAAGCTACCTAATATCTTCATTAAGTTACCTAATATCTTCATTAAGTTACCTATTATCATCGTTAAGTTACCTATTATCATCATTAAGTTACCTATTATCATCATTAAACTATCTATTATCATCATTAAACTATCTATTATCATCATTAAGCTACCTATTATCATCATTAAGTTACCTATTATCATCATTAAGTTACCTATTATCATCATTAAGCTACCTATTATCATCATTAAGTTACCTATTATCATCATTAAATTTCCTATTATCATCATTAAGTTACCTATTATCATCATTAAGCTACATATTATCATCATTAAGTTACCTATTATTATCATTAAGTTACCTAATATCTTCATTAAGTTACCTATTATCATCGTTAAGTTACCTATTATCATCATTAAACTATCTATTATCATCATTAAATTTCCTATTATCATCATTAAGTTACCTATTATCATCATTAAACTATCTATTATCATCATTAAGCTACCTATTATCATCATTAAGTTACCTATTATCATCATTAAATTTCCTATTATCATCATTAAGTTACCTATTATCATCATTAAGTTACTTATTATCATCATTAAGTTACCTATTATCATCATTAAGTTACCTATTATCATTATTAAGTTACCTATTATCATCATTAAGTTACCTATTATCATCATTAAGTTACCTATTATCATCATTAAGCTACCTATTATCATCATTAAGCTACCTATTATCATCATTAAACTATCTATTATCATCATTAAGCTACCTATTATCATTATTAAAATATCTATTATCATCATTAAGTTACCTATTATTATCATTAAGCTACCTAATATCTTCATTAAGTTACCTAATATCTTCATTAAGTTACCTATTATCATCGTTAAGTTACCTATTATCATCATTAAGTTACCTATTATCATCATTAAATTTCCTATTATCATCATTAAGCTTCCTATTATCATCATTAAGTTACCTATTATCATCATTAAGCTACCTATTATCATCATTAAGTTACCTATTATTATCATTAAGTTACCTAATATCTTCATTAAGTTACCTATTATTATCATTAAGTTACCTAATATCTTCATTAAGTTACCTATTATCATCGTTAAGTTACCTATTATCATCGTTAAATTTCCTATTATCATCATTAAGTTACCTATTATCATCATTAAGTTACCTATTATTATCATTAAGTTACCTAATATCTTCATTAAGTTACCTATTATCATTGTTAAGTTACCTATTATCATCGTTAAGTTACCTATTATCATCATTAAATTTCCTATTATCATCATTAAGTTACCTATTATCATCATTAAACTATCTATTATCATCATTAAGCTACCTATTATCATCATTAAGTTACCTATTATCATCATTAAACTATCTATTATCATCATTAAGCTACCTATTATCATTATTAAAATATCTATTATCATCATTAAGTTACCTATTATTATCATTAAGCTACCTAATATCTTCATTAAGTTACCTAATATCTTCATTAAGTTACCTATTATCATCGTTAAGTTACCTATTATCATCATTAAGTTACCTATTATCATCATTAAATTTCCTATTATCATCATTAAGCTACCTATTATCATCATTAAGTTACCTATTATTATCATTAAGCTACCTAATATCTTCATTAAGTTACCTAATATCTTCATTAAGTTACCTATTATCATCGTTAAGTTACCTATTATCATCATTAAGTTACCTATTATCATCATTAAACTATCTATTATCATCATTAAACTATCTATTATCATCATTAAGCTACCTATTATCATCATTAAGTTACCTATTATCATCATTAAGTTACCTATTATCATCATTAAGCTACCTATTATCATCATTAAGTTACCTATTATCATCATTAAATTTCCTATTATCATCATTAAGTTACCTATTATCATCATTAAGCTACCTATTATCATCATTAAGTTACCTATTATTATCATTAAGTTACCTAATATCTTCATTAAGTTACCTATTATCATCGTTAAGTTACCTATTATCATCATTAAACTACCTATTATCATCATTAAATTTCCTATTATCATCATTAAGTTACCTATTATCATCATTAAGTTACCTATTATCATCATTAAGTTACCTATTATCATCATTAAGTTACCTATTATCATCATTAAGTTACTTATTATCATCATTAAGTTACCTATTATCATCATTAAGCTACCTATTATCATCATTAAGTTACTTATTATCATCATTAAGTTACCTATTATCATCATTAAGTTACCTATTATCATCATTAAGTTACCTATTATCATCATTAAGTTACCTATTATCATCATTAAGTTACTTATTATCATCATTAAGTTACCTATTATCATCATTAAGCTACCTATTATCATCATTAAGTTACTTATTATCATCATTAAGTTACCTATTATCATCATTAAGTTACCTATTATCATCATTAAGTTACCTATTATCATCATTAAGTTACCTATTATCATCATTAAGTTACTTATTATCATCATTAAGTTACCTATTATCATCATTAAGTTACCTATTATCATCATTAAGTTACCTATTATCATCATTAAGTTACCTATTATCATCATTAAGTTACTTATTATCATCATTAAGTTACCTATTATCATCATTAAGTTACCTATTATCATCATTAAGTTACCTATTATCATCATTAAGTTACCTATTATCATCATTAAGTTACCTATTATCATCATTAAGTTACCTATTATCATCATTAAGCTACCTATTATCATCATTAAGCTACCTATTATCATCATTAAGCTACCTATTATCATCATTAAACTATCTATTATCATCATTAAGCTACCTATTATCATCATTAAGTTACCTATTATCATCATTAAGCTACCTATTATCATCATTAAGTTACCTATTATCATCATTAAGTTACCTATTATCATCATTAAACTATCTATTATCATCATTAAGCTACCTATTATCATCATTAAGCTACCTATTATCATCATTAAGTTACCTATTATCATCATTAAGTTACCTATTATCATCATTAAGCTACCTATTATCATCATTAAGTTACCTATTATTATCATTAAGTTACCTAATATCTTCATTAATCTATCTTTTTTTTGGTAAGTCTTCATTTGGTAGTAATTATTTGTATATATGATAGAAAACAATAGCATAGTAGGATATTATTTTATAAATTAAAAAAAAGTCCACTCTAGTAGTCATTTAAATGCTTCCTAAATATTAATGTTAAATTTTGTAAAACATTAATATTTTCTAAATATTAATGTTAAATTTTGTAAAACATTAATATTTTCTAAATATTTATGTTAAATTTTGTAAAACATTAATATTTTCTAAATATTAATGTTAAATTTTGTAAAACCATAATATTTTCTAAATATTAATGTTAAATTTTGTAAAACATTAATATTTTATAAATATTAACGTTAAATTTTGTAAAACATTAATATTTTATAAATATTAATGTTAAATTTTGTAAAACAATAATATTTTATAAATAGTTAAAAATTTTTTATTAAATATAATTATAAAATAAAAAACAAGTTTACAACTTTTGATTGTTAATTTTACAAATAAGTAAAACAGTTTAAAATTTTAAATTCTTCTAAAATGATTAGACAAATGTAATTTTGTATATCAAATAATTTTCTTATTCTGATCATTTATTTGATTATTTTTTTCAGGAGTAGATTCTCCCGGTGCCTATTCGCAACCAACGACAAATCTTGAAAGGTTTAATACTTCTAATCCATTGCAGCCATTTCTTACTCAACCATCTGTTTTGAACAAATTAACAGCAGTTATACATCAAACAAATACCTCATGGTCACATCGGTGTGATGAAATTGTTCAATTATGCTCTGCTTGCTCAAATAAGGTTACAAATTTATTATCATGGCTTACATCATACATGTGCATTACTTCTTTAAAGTGACAATACTCATGACTTTTTTGAAGTGATAATACTCATTACTTCTTTGAAGTGACAATATTCATGACATAATAATAATAGAATTTTACAGGTTCTACAACAAGCTTTTGTTTATTTTTTTATTATTGTTTTTTTTAATACATTAAATTTTACTTTTTATCTTAATAATTTTAAATTAAATCAAAATTTATAAAATTTTACAGAAAATGAAAATTTAAACAGTTTTGATAAATGGGTTGAGGTTCTTAATTTATCAAAGGCTTTTGAAAATATCATGCTGGTCCTCATAAGCGCTTTTTATGTGGAATATTTGGCAAAATTTTTAAAATTATTGAATTTTTCCACTTTAATAGCAGGTTTAAGCTGTCTTTGATAGGCAATATTTTTCATTTTCAAAAACTACTGGAGTACTAAAAGGTTTCATCCTATCTAAGGTAATGATCCTCCTGATAATACTACCATATATTTTATACTACCATATATTCTATATAACCTTATGTTCTAGTCATTATTTTTTGATTGCTTAGAACAGTAGCCTGTTTTTAGTTTTGATGTGGAGCTTAGGGCTTGAGCTGGTTGGTTATTTTTACTTACTTTGAGATTTAATGTGCTTGTGTGCTCATGGCTTTTTTATATCTCAGTTTTTTATTTTTTCTTGTATGGAATACTGTTGACATCTTGACTGGCTAATGATGCCTTTTCAAATTTTTAAACTTTTGTTAAAAGGTACTTGGAAATAAAGAAGATTGTTTAGGTGCAAGAAAATGAGTATGTAGCAATAAATATAGAAACATTCATAATAATTGTGATTGGCTGTAAAGTTTTATTCAAGTTACAAATAACTGTGATCCTCATGCAGTTACATTTAAAATGAGATTTCTTTTTTTAACTGATTTAAAAGTGATTACATAGTATCAAGACTAGAATATATAGCCACATCATCAATGAACACAGTCACTTACTTGTAAGATTGTCAGGAAGGTTGTTAATTTAGATAAGTATGGTCCTTAGTTTACAGGTAGGTAATAAGGTTACAACGATGTATTTATATTTGATTTTTTACAAAGAGTTACAGAAATGATATTTTAAATTAAAAATTAAAGATATTTTAGTGCTGCAATTTGAGAGAAAAAGTTTTATAATTTATAATTTATAATTTTTTTTTTGCACTATATGAAGAGACCATTATTTGATATGTCAAGAACACTATTTGAGCATTAATCAGTTCAGAAAAATTGGTGTAAGAACTTCCGAGACAGCATCTAAAAATAAAAATTAAGTAAACACATTAAGTTACCTATTATCATCATTAAGTTACCTATTATCATCATTAAGCTACCTATTATCATCATTAAGCTATCTTTTTTTATAGTTTTTAGAGAACAGATGACCATGCTGTGTTAGGAATAAATGTCAATGTGACTCACGATTTACACGCCATATACATATTCGCATATACATTATCAATATATTAAAGCTTTTTTTCTTAGAAAAAAACTGTGATAAAAAATTAACAAAACTTTGTTATTTTGAACTAAAGGATTCTTTATTAGAAATAATTTGTTGAATTTTAGTTTATATCTTGCTGTTGCAACAAGTTTGAAGAAAACATTTATAATGTGTAATGTTGATAAAAATCTTGTTAGAAGAAATGTGGTAATGAAAAACAAGTTGTTTTTTCCAGAAATGATTAAATTTAAATAATTTCATAGTACAACATCCTCTACATAGTTGTTGGTTCTGGTCATAATTATAATTTTTTTAATTTAAGCAAAAATTTTGTTTGCAAAAAATTCAGCTTTATCCTCTATTCTTTATCCTCAGAAGAGTTAATAAGATCTGACCAATAAAAGAGAAATGGAATATTGAATTTTGTTAATGATATTAATGATATCTGTTACTATTGGACACTATTAAAGTGTCGGAAGGTCTTGAGGATAAATAAGAGATTTAGTAATCTGAGAGCATTAGACAATATCTCTTTGCTATGAATGTATCTATAAATGTTGCTATGATAATATCTCTTTGCTACGAATGTATCTATAAATGTTGCTATGACAATACCTCTTTGCTATAAAAAAAAAAAGAGTTTGTTTATAGGAATATAAAGTTTGAATTTCATTTGAAAATTAAATCATGGAAAGAATCCCAGTCAGTCTTTAGATAGTTATGAATGAAGTACATGTTATATGTTTACAAGTAAATGTTGCTATGACAATAGTTATGAATGAAGAGAGAAATCTGATAGATCTGATAAATCTAATAAAGTAGAAAAATTAGATAAGTTTTATTCTAATTAAGGCATTTTTAATTAAAAAAATGCATCAATTAGAATGATTTGAACTGGAGGGGACTAGGGAGAGAAAAAAAATACAGTATTGAGTTAAAGAGGAAACACTAACTAAGGAGCGAAGGTAAGTGTTTATCTGAAAAGTGGGTTTTAAAGTTAAGTATCTAGGTTGAGAACATTAATAATTTTTTCTCAAAAAAAGTTAAACATGTTTTTTTTATATGTATACTGCATTTGCATGGCTTTAAGAAATGTAACACCAAAATTATGTCACAATGTATTTTATATTTAAATATGATGATTGGATTCACATAAGCTTAAAAAAAAAAGCCAGAAAGTGCAAATTTGATAAATTTTCATCAAAATATTTTTTATATGCCTTGTACCCCTGTACAAATAAAATTGATGTGACTTTTTCATAGGAAAAAAAAACCCAATGGAAATGATGTTAGCACTGCAAACAGCCTTTGATAATATTTTTTGATGTTTTGATCATGAAGAAATTAAAACAATTTTCAAAACTGATGTTTTACTTTGTGATAGTTACACTGTATTGATTTATTTTCTCTCTGCTTTTTGCTTTAACTGCAAATTTGCTTTTATTTCACTCTGTAGCGGTTCTGATTTTTCCACTCATTTTTTTTCCATTTTATTTACATATCTTCAAGTTTTTCCAGTGTTTGTTGTTTTCACTTTAAGTGTTCATGTTTTTATGTTTGTTTTTTTCACTATAAGTTTTTTTTATAAGTTTATTTCACTATAAGTTTTATTTTGCATTTCGTTCTGTCTTTTTTCAATTAAAAGTAAAATATACTAATTTTTTACCTAATAAAATAAAAAACGTAAATAATGCTAAAAAGTACTTGTAAACTTTATTTACATAGACTTGACAAAATTTTGTATTTCATATTCAGAATGTTTTTAATTGAAAATATAAAACTAAAAATTTAAATAGTTATTAAAAACTATTGCTCTTTATACTTGCACTTTATCTGAGAACATGCTACATTTTAACAGATTGATCATTGTCCTTGTTGTTGTTGTGTTTTTTTTAAGAAAGTTATGGTTCTGGTGCAGCTCAAAATTATCAAAGATTAAAATCCCGTGACCAGGTGTCTTGAAACTGTGCAGACATTAACATTTACACTAGGAGGTTGTTAAGTAAGAATTTGTGAGCTTATAATCTGTATGTCCTTCACAAACAAATAGTATAATATGTTGTCGGTTTTTGGAATAGTAATTCTTGGTCTTTCACAGGGTTTGTCTGGATTGATGATCTTTTTTTTTTTAAATTCTAATTCACTCCCAAGAAAAAAAGAATAGAGTCATAGAGCAAGGAAACGGTTGTCACGAGACTTAAAAAGTTGATGGTTGTTTAAGTCAGAAAAACATGATGATGGGAAAGAGTTCCAAAGTGTTAAAGTTGCAGGAAAAAGTTAGACGCATAAAAGTTTTTGGAGCATGCATGGACAGATACAGTAAAAGAATAAGACTTAGATGAATGATGAGTCAAGGGAGAATGAGTTTCAGTTATTGGAACTAGAGATAAAAGCTCCTTTGAGCAGTGACTATGATAGTGAGTATTTGTAGAAAAGAGAAAGAGATGCAACTTTACGACAATGGGAAAAAGGCTCAAGCTTAGCAGATAGACTGGGTCCAACTACATTTATAATGCGTTTTTGGACCTTGTCTAGAAGAGAAAGAGCATCATTAAAAGAACCAGCCCAAATATGACAACAGTATTCTATACAGGGACGAATGAGAGATTTGTAGAGGTAGAGAATGGAATTAGGAGAGAGAAAATGGTGAGCATGGTAAAGAGAAGCAATCTTAGCAGATTTAGCAATTGATTGTATGTATGGTTTCCATGAAAAGTTTGTAGTAAATATTTCAAGAAAAGAAGAGGTCTCAATGAGAGGGTTACCATTCATCAATATAGGAATGTCAACAGTACTGCGAGAGTTGTTTGCAGTAAATAACTGTTTCTTGCTGAAGTTAAAATTTACAAGCTACTGTGAGCTCCGATCTGTTACAGAAGTGAGATCAGATTCAAGATGCTGATCTTGAATCTGATCTGACTTCTGTTGCTTGTTCTAAGCAATAAAACATCAAAAATATTTTTTATCAAGACAAGAGTATAAAGTTGATTCATCAGCAAAAAAAGCTATTTTAGATGTAAGGTTGTCGAGAAAATTCTTAATGTAAATAAGAAAAAAAAACAGGACTAAGGATAGAACCTTGAGGTACCTCAGAAGTTACTGGAAATGAAGGAGAGTGTTAGCCTTTGAAGATGGCTTTAATAAAGCTGTTAGAAAGAGCTGATTTAATAATCTCCCAAACTTTCCCAGATACACCATATGAAACAAGCTTCTGGAGAAGACCAACATGGCAAACTTTGTTGAAAGCCTTAGATATGTCAAAAGCAATAGCCCTAGCTTTTCCACCTCTATCTAATGCATGATAAAATCTTTCAGTTACAACAGTTAGTAAGTCAGCAGTAAAGCGAGAGGATCGAAAACCGTATTGATTGTCTGACAGGAAGTTGTTTGACTCAAGATGGGACTGAGAAATTTGTTTATCAAAGACTCAAAGACCTTGCTAATAACAGAAAGAAGACTGATTGGGCAATAGTTTGAGGGGTCAGACCTTTCACCTGAGTTTTTAAAAACTTGAACAACAGATGCCATTTTCCAGCAGGCTGGAAAACAAGACTCAGTCAACCACTTATTAAATTATTTAGAAATAATTGAGAAGAGTTCTGGAGAACTATTTTGTAAAACATCTAATGCACGATAAAATCTTTCAGTTACAGCAGTTAGCAAGTCGGCCGTAGAGCGAGAGGATCGAAAACCGTATTGATTGTCTGACAGTTGTTTATTTGACTCAAAATGAGATGTGAGGAATTTGTTGATCAAAGACTCAAAGATCTTGTTTATAACAGAAAGAAGACTGATCGGACGATAATTGGAGGAGTCAGAATTTTCTCCAGAGTTTTTGAATATTGGAACCACAGATGCCATTTTCCAACAAGCAGGAAAACAAGACTCAGTCAAATACTTGTTAAATAGTTTAGAGAGGATTGAAGAAAGTTCTGGAGAACAATTCTGCAAGACTGTGACAAGAATGTTGTCTGGACCACAAGATGTAGAAGAGTTTAATCGAGGTTTGACTTTAGCAACGGAAGTTGGAGTGATTTGAATGTCTAACAATTGCTTAACCTTTTTAATTGAAATGGAAGGAAGAGAATGGCGAGAGTTGAAATAGAAGAAAAGTTCTTTGCAAATAGTTCAGCCTTATCCTTGGGAGAGGTAATAAGATCAGTCCCATGAATGAGAGATGTAATGTTAGACCTTCCTTGTTAACAACGCTGTTGAAGATTTTCCAAAAGTCTCTAGAGCCTAACTTCTGAGATAAAATACGAGATTTAGTGAACTGAGAATAATGGAGCTTAGCATCAGACAACACCTTTTTGCATTGATTTCTTGCAATAATAAATAGCCATTTGTTCTCAAGAGAGTTGTTTTTCTGAAAAAGATAAAAAGAATAATTACGATTAGATATAACAGCTGCAAAAGTAAACCATGGAGTAGAATGACTAGAACGGCCTGCCAAGCAATGAGCTATGCAATTTTCTCAATCCTGTTAATTAACCTTAAGTTGTAACATAGGGCTCCTTATGTGGCCTGGACAATGCGCACTAAAAACTTTAACAGGGACACCATCCATGTGCAACATGACATTGCTAATACTCTGATATTTTGCAGCTGTTGATAGAATCAGCCTCTCTGAAAGCTACTACAAAGTTCGGGAAACCTTACTACCAGCCAGCCTCAGAACCATTAAACTGAGTTTTAGAGCTGTACCATCATTAGGAGATAACAGGAAGAGTTGCATAGCCACTATCAAGGAGGTACAAGAAAAAACCTCTGAGAAAAGTTAAGAAGATCCAGCATTTATCATCCTAGGCAGGAAACAATTTAACACAGGTTTACATCTACATCAGCCTAATAGGTAAAGATGGGGCCTGAGTCTGGTCAACAGAATTATTCTACTTACTTCCAAAGTCTTTGCCTAGAAGGCTTCTAAAAGACAGTAGCTGGATGCAGTTAACATCTGCCCAAGATGTTAACTGCAGCCAAAATTTTTATCGAGAGACCATCTCTAGCCTTTATTCAACCAAGAGCCCCAAGGCAGGGGATTTTTATATCAGAGTTTGTTTCTCTTAGTCTTTGCCTGAAATAGCACACACTGCAAGGCAGCAGGGCATGGGGCAGGTACTGGGTAGGGTGGTAGTGGGTTACATAATACCAGTTGCAGGGTGATCATGATGATCCTGAACCTGACCTGGAGTAATTAAAAGGAACTACTTCCTTTAAACAGCACCTTAAAACATCAGGTTTGATATTTTAGAAATTCATTAGCAAAAATATTACACCCAACCAAATACTCTAGATAAAGGTAAGCATATGTTTAATAGTTGGAGTGCCTAGTTAGTTAACGAGCTCACACTGCATCAAAACAGATTTAAACATTTAAACAGAACATATAAATATAAACAGAACACAAACATACAGATAGCAACTAACAAGTGAGTGAACACCATGCCAGAGGTTTAGACAGAATACAAACATATATATAAAGTAGATTATGGGTAAGCTAAAACAGTAACTAAGGCACCTCAAACTAATAATAATAATAATACCCAAAATAATAATAATAATAACACCCAAAATAATAATAATAATAAAAATTAATATATATGTATATATTAGTATAGACATGACCGATTTTAAATAGTACTGATGATAGGAACCAATCTCCTTCCAGCCTTTGCTTAGAAAGCAAATCCCACAAAGCAGGAGGACATGGAACAGGTTGCATTTGGTTACATATTATCATACACCTCACATGACAATGGTCACTTAATAGTAATTTTAGTAATCTTAATACTTTACTCTTGCTTGTTTGTTTTTAATTTTTCCCATAAAATGAAAGTTAATGTTTTTTTTTTAAAAAAAAAAAAAACATTAACTTTACATTTGATCTCTCTAAACCTATTATCTCATTCTTCTTCATCATCAGAATCCCCCTATCATCATACATCTTACAACTACCTTGAAGCTGAATGGAACTCTTTCCATGATTTTCTTTGTGATGGTCCTTGGGTAGAAATCTTTCGTCTTCCTGTTGACAAATGTGCTTCTTACATAACTTTGTGGATTTAGGCTGGCATGGAATCTTTAATTCCCTCTCGACGATTCCAGGTCAAACCTCACTCTTTTCCATGGTTTTCCTCACATTGTTTGGTGCAATTGCCAATTGAAACTGTTACTTTCATATCTATCAGAAGTTTGTTATTATGGTTTTGCAACTAATAATGATTTTTTATTATCAAAAAGTCAGTAAGTAACAAATTAAAATTATAACTTATTGCAAAAGTATGAACTCTATTTAATTTACCAATATATTTGTTGTGAAAACAAAATACTATTTATTTAAAAGTATTTATTGCTGTGCTTTCATGTGTGTTTTTTGCAAATTTTTTATGCAGTCTTTAAGTATGTTTACAAAAAGAATAATACAAAATAAAATTTTTCAGCTAAATTTTTTTTTAATGTTATCACTATTTTTTATTATTATATAAAGTGCATAAAAATGCTTAACATCATACATAAATTGCAAGCTGTGTAGGCCTTCAAAACAAGGGTTAATATATATGTATATATATATATATATATATATATATATATATATATATATATATATATATGTATATATATATATATATATATATATATATATATATATATATATATATATATATATATATATATATATATATATATATATATGTTACTGTATAAATAAGAACAATAATAATGATAATAATAATAGTAGTTACTATGCAGTTATTTAAAAACCAAAGTTAATTATTTATAGAATACAAATAAGATAAAATAACTGAAAGATAATTTTTTATGTTTGAGATGTTTAGGACTAAGACCTACACATATCAATTCCACATTCTACGCATAGTAACCACCTGGCATTCCAAACCCTCAGCACAGGCTAGTGTTTGTAGTTAAATTCTTTTTCTTATCATTTCTTAATTTTTTATTTTTAAAGGAGCTAATTGATATACTTCCAACATTGCTTCACAGTATCTTTGGTTATTCTGGAGGCCTGGGTTGGAAATTGGATTCACTAACACCTGCTACACATGATTACTTTAGTATACTTAACTTTCTTAAGCCAAGTGGATTTGTTTTTAACATGATCAATAAATTGCTGACAGACCCTGATGCATTGTTTCAACTTCCTCTTTCTATGATGCCTGTAATTTTTTATTATTAGTATTATATGTAATGTTGTTAGCATAATCATTTTTTTTTTATTTCCTTCATTTTGAAGGGGTTAAATTAAAAGTTTAATTATAAATTTATCATTTAGATTTGTGTAACAGATGAAATGAGAAAAGGGATGTCTAGTTGGTATCAATCAAAAGTTAGCTTTCATACTGTTAATCAGCAATTTATAAATTTTAGTATCTTTTCAATTTTGCACTTTTTCAAATTATACATTGGGTTAAGTAATTAACTTTTTATTTCATGAATTAAAAAGGATTGGATTATGTTAAAAAGAAGATTTTTTTAAATTAAGAGTTTATGTAGTCTAGAACAAAAAATAGCAAAGAAAAAACAGTTTTCATTAGAACAATAAAACTTTCTGATTTCCTGTTGATGGGTGCCATTGCCGAACTATAATTAATTTTGGGTATTTCTTCTGTGTTAGTTCTTAAATTTACTCTTTATTTTTTTCCATCAAAATTGCATATAAAAATGATGACATCTACACCTATAGGTTGTTTGCTTTTTAAACAATAATTTGTATAATTTTCTTGTACAACTTCTTGCCACTGAATTCTTTTTAGAATTGCGATTCGCCATCAGTGTTTTGTTGATTTTCAAATTGTTGCCACTTCCAGTGTTTCTATGCATTGTATTAAATGCTATATACTTTTTCATGACACAGATCACAGTTCTTTTAGAGTGATCATTATTATCATTGATTTTAGAAGGAAATAAGGATTTTTCACTTGAGTAAAATTTTCCTTGATGTAAAATTGCATCACACTCGTTTTCATTTTGAATGACGTTTCGTTGTCATTTTGAATACTAATCTAAATAAAATATTTTAATTGAATTACTAATTCAATTAATTCATTCAATTAATTCATTCAATTAATTCATTCAATTAATTCATTCAATTAATTCATTCAATTAATTCATTCAATTAATTCATTCAATTAATTCATTCAATTAATTCATTCAATTATTTTTCCGAATGATAACATTCTATGTAATTTTTGTAGTGAACAAAGTTTAAGAAATCAAAATTAATTTTACTTATTGATAATTTTAAAAATTGGGTTTGCTTTAGTATGTAACATGATGAAATTGAGAAAGGGTGTGATATATCAGGCTGTAATCAATAGATTCACTAAAGATTGGAATCCTTGAAGACAATATATAAAGAGGTTCAAATCTATCTTCTTTTCTAGAAGCAACTAGTCGCATCTGTCTAGAGTCAATTCTATCGAAAAAAAAGCTGGTCTTCTTAAACAGATAAAGTCTGTATCTTTCCTGCTAGTATATCACTTCAAAATCTTGCTTTCACACAGTTATTGAAGTCGTTAGTGGAAAGTTTGTCTAATATTTTACCAGCATTTAAAAAACTTTACTTTAGAAAGTTTAGAACAATTTTAATTTGAAACTATTAAATTTAGTAAAATTTGTCAAAAGTCTTAATAGTCATTTTAGGTCATGGTTAAGCATCAATTGAGGCTTCAGCATAAACACTAATATGCTCATGAAATGATCAAGGTACCTTATTGAAGTATTAAATCTAGAGAAAATTAGAAATTTCCTGACAAAGAAAAAAGAAAATATGATAATGCTGTTAAATAAAAAAATATCAGGACTTGAGGAGAAGAAAAAGGTTTTGAGTGAAATGCTGAGTGCGTAATAAAAAATGGCTCATGTAATAAAAATAGAATTTCTTGCCAAAAATTTAAATTTTTCGATATCTATGGAAGGCTTATGATGTATAGATTACTATGGTAAAATAAAAAAATATATATTTAAATGTAGTTCAAAATAAGAAACAAAAACAGATTATTTAATTTTATCATCTCTTATAACTGAAATTCATTCTCAATGACTCTTCATACAGCAAAGTCTCATTCTTTTACTGTACCTGTCCCTGCATGCTCTAAAAACTTTTATTCATCTAGTGTTTTCCCTAACTTTCAAAACACCTCAGACATTGTTTTAAAACATCCTATCAGGTCATGGTTTTTGCAGTCATTACCTCTGATAGCCAAAAAACCTCTTGTGTTTGTGAATAAAGGTGACATATTAAATACTTTTGAATTGAATGCTTATATAAATATTCTGGAGAGTCATGTCAAGCCTTCAATAGAGGTAATCTATAATAAATATACAAAATTTGTGTTCACCCAAGACAAATCAAATCAAATATATTCTGAATAAAGTTGTTACATCAAGGATATTTACAAATAGTAATTTGTACTAATATAAAGTAAACACCTGTCCAACTCAATAAAAATAAGATGGGGATAGTAATAATAATAATTATAATACAAGTAGGAATAATAAAAGTAATAGTAGTGATTATAGTGATAAAAAAAATAATAGTAGCGATTATAAAAAGAATATACTATAATAATAATAATAATAATAATAATAATAATAATAATAATAATAATAATAATAATAATAATAATAATAATAATAATAATAATAGTAACAATAATAATAATAATAATAATAATAATAATAATAATAATAATAATAATAGCAATAATAACAACAAAAATAATAACAACAACAATAATAACAATTACAATAATATTCATTATGATAAAAATATACTAATAATAACAACAACAGTGATAAGAGAATACTATAGAAACATATCAGTTTATAATAATAAATTTAATAATTGATATTAAAATAATAATGTATCACGATAGAATAATTGATATTAAAATAGTAATTATTTTAATAATTGATATTAAAATAGTGATATATCACGATAGAAAAGAGAAAAAATAAAAGATGAATAGAATCACTGCGTTAGGGTTATAAATAATAAGTTGTAAAAAGGTATAAGATTTATAAAGAGTATTTTTCTAAAAAATGGTTAAAGAGAGCAGTTTTAAATTTTGAGAATGATTTAAGAGATTTTTATTGTGAAGGGAGGTTGTTCCAGGTTTGTATGCTTTTATGTTGTATGGATTCGTTGCCGTAATGAACAGTTCGGTATTTAGGTACATATAATTTAAAGTTGAGAGCAGATCATAGAATATATTTACAGTTTTCCCTATAACTAAAAAAGTTGATAAATGTAAGAGGTAAGTTATTATGATTTTGGTTCCAAACAAATAGACAATTTGATAGCTGAATAAGGTCACACAATTTAAGGACTTTAGATAAAAAATAGAGTATGCTACAGTTCGAATTAGTATGTTGAAAGTAAATTTATTTTAGAGCTTTGTTTTGGAGATAAGTTAGTCTTAAAAAAGCAAGCTGCTTAGATTGTCCCCAAACTTGGCAAGCATATCTAAGATGAGAGTGAAAAATAGCATGATATAAATTAAGCAAAGTTTCATGGTTAACAAAATGACGAATTTTAGCTAAAATACCATTGGATCTGCTTAATTTCAATGCTAAGTCTCGAAGATACGATGCAAAAGATAAATTAGAGTCTATTTTGATTCCAAGATATTTAATAGAGTTAACTGGATTTATTTTTTGGCCACTTAATCTGAAATTTAATTGCTTATTTATTTTTGTTTTAGCAGATTTAAATATAATAATTTCCGTTTTTTTAGAGTTAAGAGATAATTTATTGGAGCGGAGCCATTGAACAACATTAGCTAGATCGTGATTCATATTTTTGTTAAGTTTTTTAAGTGATTTATTAATTAGGAGTAAGTTGGTGTCATCTGCAAAGTGATAAGCAGTAGAAAATTTAAGAGAAACATTTAAATCATTGATAAAAATAAGAAAAAGTAATGGACCTAAAACCGAGCCTTGCGGAACACCATTAAAAGATTTAGCTAGTCCTGAGTTGATACCATTAATTGAAACAAATTGTGTTCTATTACAAAGATAAGAGGAAAACCAGAGAAAAGGAATACCTCTTATACCATAGTGTTTCAATTTTTCTAAGAGGATTGTGTGCTCAACTGTATCAAATGCTTTTCTTATGTCAATAAACACTCCACACGCAAAGTGTTTATTATCGATGGCTTGTCTAATTTTCTCTGTTATTTCTATTAATGAATGAGTTGTTGAGTGTTTGTTGCGAAAACCATACTGGTGTTTGTAAATAAATTTATGTTTTTCCAAAAAATGCTTGAGTCTTTGGAACATTGCTTTTTCAAATAGTTTACTTAAGTTAGAAAGAAGTGAAATAGGTCGATAATTGGAGTAGTCTAGATAAGAGCCCATTTTGTGTATAGGAATTACTTTGGCTACCTTAAAAGCTTCTGGAAAAATACCATTTTTGAAAGAATTATTTATCATAGTACATAGAGGTTTGGAGATTATGTGAGATACCAGCTTTAGTAAAAATGTTGGCAGACTATTAAGACCAAGGCTTTTATTATTTTTAAGAGTATCTTTTATGAGATTCGCCACCTCATTTTCAGTCACGGGCTTAATGAAAAAAGAATTAATACTAGGTATTTTAAGAAAGTTGCCAAAAGCACATTTAGAGGGAACAGTATTTTTAAGTAGTTCGTCTTGAGTAGTCGTAAAATAATTATTAAATATATTAGCAACACTGGTATGATCTGAGATGACATTTTCATTGATTTTGAGGTTAAAAGACTTAGTAGAAGTAGATGGTTTGATATTTATGATTTCCTTAATTCCTTTCCAGGTATTCTTTACATTATTGATGTTGTTATTGAAAAAAGATGCATAGTACAATTTTTTAGAATACCTTAACAAATTACTAATTTTATTTCTGTATAACTTAAATTTAGTAAATAATATATTTTTTGTATTCACATTTTTTGATCTAGTAAATTTTTTGTAGAGTATGTTTTTATTAGAAATTGATTTAAGAATACCAGAAGTTATCCAGGGTTTAGATTGAAGTTTAATTTGTTTTTTTGTTAGTTCTTTGTAAGGAGCATATTGGTCTAATATTTTTTCGAATGTTTTAAGAAAAAAATTTATAGATTCGTTTATGTTATCATCGTCTTTTATGAGAAGCTCTCAGTTAATATTGGAAATTTCTTGGATAAAAGAATCAGAATCAAATTTTTTAAAGCTTCTTTTAAACATTTTTATTTTTTTTTAATGGGTGGGTTATTAGGAATACAGACGAATTGTGCCATGTGGTCAGAGATTGAAATAGTAAGATTACCAGAGACTATATCAGTAGGAAACTATATAGAATTAATAACTAAGATAAAATAATAAACAATAGATAAAATTAAAATAATATAAATCCATAATAAATAAATGTATAAGAATATATAATAATGATAAAGTTATAATAATGATCAAAAAATATAATAAAATTATATATAGTAAAATAATTTAAATATAATAAAATATATAACAAAACTTCCTAAATAGATAATCTAATGATAAATAAATAAATAATATGTGATAATACAACTTAGATAGATAACGGGAAAACCTTATTAACTAGAACTAATGAATATAATTAATGATAAATAAATAATTAAAAAAATATGTGAAAAAGTGAAAAAAAAAAAAATAATAATAATAATAATAAAATAACAAATAAGTTGAATAATTATATTAAAAAATAATAATTACAAATTAAATCGCGAAAATAAATGAATAACCAATCTTCTTTATTCTCTTTAAAATTGGTTTTGTTCTTCTCTTTCTTGTTTGTTTACTTATTTCTTCTTTTTTTCTTCTTCTTTGTTTACTTTCTCTTTCTTTCTTTTTTTTTTTTAAGACAGAGTACTGTGCAACACGATTTACATTTTGTTTTGGAGTAAAATTTTTTTATTTCTATTTTTCTCTTTCTTTCTTTCTTTCTTTTTTTTAAGACAGAGTACTGTGCCACACGATTTACATTTTGTTTTGGAGTAAAATTTTTTTATTTCTATTTTTCTCTTTCTTTCTTTCTTTTTTTTTTTAAGACCGAGTACTGTGCCACACTGCCAAAAAAACACCAGCCTTGAAAAAAATATACATAATTTCTGGCCAAGAAACTGGTGGCCTTCTTAGTTCTCCAGATGGAAATTAAGAAATTTAAATGTATGTAAAATAACCAAACTTTAATAAAAGGTATGTCGACAACATATTTGCAGCATTTCTTTCTGAAATTCATGCTTCCAGTTCATGATTGCATCAGTACCAGACACAAATTGATTTCTTTCACAATGGAAAATTAAGTAGCATCCTAACTATTTTTTATAGATACTATATCCAAAACTAAGAATTTCATTTTATCTTCTATTTTTCATAATAACTCTTGCTCTGGACTTTATGTTAATTCTTATAGTTTTACTTCTTGCCCTTATGCAAAATTTTTTTAGAAATTTGAAAAACAGAAAAAAAAAAATTTTACTCCAAAACAAAATATAAATCGTAATAATTAAATTTTTAAATTTTAAATATCTTCTAAAGATTTTAGTTAGTTTAATGGTAAATAAAATATAAATTACTAAAATTATTTTAAATTGAATTTTTAACATTTAATTAAATGTTTTCTAAGCAATCAATTAAATGATATAAAAATTTATACAAATTAACTGAAAATAAAGTTGAAAAAAACAATGATCATCAAGTCTATGTGTTAACCAAGCAAATTGACCCTCTGTCAATTTAAAAATGTCTCAATTCATTTCCTTAAATTTAGTTTACCCATTAGGCTGATGTTTAATTTTTCTTTAAAATTTGTTTATGGGTTTCGAGAAGATTTTTATTTAAACCTTAATAGAAATTTTACAGATTCATTGGAGTACTTTCTTGTGTTATATTCATACTTTATAATACATCCAAGTAATATGGTAAATAATTTTTATTTATTGATTGTTAATTTATAGACTAAATTTTTTAATTATTTTTATGTGCAAAACGGTCCATATTCTTCAAATCACATCTCCGTGGCCTATTCTACTGCAGATCTAATAATTAGAAATTGAGTAATTTAATTTAAGATTATTATTAATAATAACTATTGCTACATTGACTGACAAATAGGTAAAAAAAATAAAAAACTGCTTCATCAACTGATAAATAGGTAAATATATGAGGAGTACTGCTACATCAACTGAAGGTTTTGGTTTTTTTAAAACATAAAGTTGAGATTTTACGGTAAAAATTAAAGATGACCAAGCAAAAATATATATATCTTCTAGAAATCTGGACAAAGTTTATTAACTATAAAAATATAAAGGAATAATTTGATAAACTTGCAACACATTTATTTAGTTACAAATTGAACTCTTTATATGTATTATTAACAATATTCTTATTTATATTTATAAAAAAGAAAAAGACTCAAGACAATTATTCGCTTAGAAAATGAGTATATTCATTTTTAGATTTGCATTCAGATGAGAATAAAAGCTTTATTGCCAATCATTTTTGAATGGAATACATACCAAAATTTACTATGTGTAATATTCTGAAAAAAAAGGAGAACAATATAGAACTAAAAAGATTAGAAGAGAACAGTATAGGACCAAAAAGTTAAAAGTGGTCACAAAGCAAAAAAAAAAAAAATTGATTGATCAGAAGTATGGTATTTCACAGCATGGTCTTGCAAAATGATTCAATCTAACACAGCAGTACACATGCAACATTATCAATAAAAACACTAGTATAGATTTTACTCTAGCTAAATTTTACTCTTCTGACATAAATGGAGTATCAAATAGTGTAAGGTTAAAAAGAAAAGACAAATTTGAGCCAAAATTAATCATTTAGATTGCATTCTCGTTGAAAAGAATCTCTCAGCATTACATGCTCCATCAGGCCAAGTAGTCAATGAAAATGAGAATATTTAAAAATGTCTTGTCAAAAACATCACAAAAATGACATTATCATTTGCTTGCCTGATCTTGCTTTGTCATATTCACATAAAGTATTTAAAATCTAAAAATATTGAATTAGTACCAAAAGTGCCTAACCCTGCTAATGTGCCAGAATTACGACCAATTGAAGATTTTTATTCAGAACTTAAAATATTGGTGTATATTAAAAATTGGCAAGCTGAAAATCTAGATAAACTTAAAAAAAAAGGTAGAGTTTTCAATCAAGAAAATTGAAAACTATTTCAATCAAGAAAATTGAAAACTACTGTGCAACAACAAAGAAAAAATGAAAATGAGAAAATTGTAACCTGTTTATATCAGCTAGCTGCCGCAAAATTTACAAGAGTAAATGATCATTCTATTAAAAAGTTATACGATTTTTAGTTTTGTCCAGGTTTTTAGTTATCACATATATATATAAATATGTGTGTGTGTGTGTGTGTATGTGTGTTTGTGTGTTTGTGTGTAGTTGTATATATTGGTAATGTTAGCCTTTCAAAGTATATTTGTTGTAATTTTTTAATTTGTTGTAGCAAGCTCAATGGACTTCTGTTGCAGATGTTCTATATGTGCGATTATTTGAAGAATACCTCAACTTTTTTTACCCTCTAAATGAAGTTCAAATAGAATCAGTTCAAGTAGTTCAGCAATTCACACCAAAGTTTAACACATTGCAAGTATTTTATATCATATTTTTTATATTTTAAACATATCTAAAACAAATATGAAAGTTTATCTTAAAAAATATTTTAAGTTTATACTATAAAATATTTGTGTAAATTATTAATTATTCTTTAAAATTTTTTAAATTGTAATTTTTATATTTATAATTTTAGTTAAAACTTTAAATATTTAAGTTAAATTCAAAACTTTAATAGTCGTACTCCAAGTTCTCCGCTATTACGTCAGCAATTTGAAACAAATGTTGTATTAAATGCAAATACCCAAACGTCGTATGCTGAAATCTTTTTGCAGGTAAAAATTTATTTTGGTTTACTTTGTACTTGATATTTAGATAATTCTATTTTATTTGAATGTTTTTTTTTTTGCTTACTTTGTAACTTCTCTTTAGATACTTTGTGACTTTTGGTTAGGTCAAAATACTGAGAATCAAATAAAAGAGGTAAATGTTTTAAATTTTTAGTGAAATTATTGAGCAAAAGATTTAATATTTTTAATTTTGAAAAAAAGTTATTAAATTTTATTTAGTCATAGTAATAAACAAAGAAAACTGGTTAAATTGTTATTTACAAATTGTTATTTTATTTATAAAAAATCGTTATTTACAAATTTTATTTTATTACAAATTTTATACCTTTATTTTCAAATATTTTTGTTTAAATTTGGTTATCAGCTTTATGAGCATACTTGATAAATTGTCAAAATTATGTTCAATTAAGTTTCAAATTAAAAATGCTAATTTGGCTAATCAAGGTAAATATATTTTGACTAATCAAGGTAATTTTATTTCTTTAAAAAGACATTTTGTAATTTGCAGTACAACACAAATATAATTAAAAAGTACAATTTTTTTACTAACTGTTAATTAAACAAATAAGGTTGCTTTTTTTTTTTTAATTCATTTGTTAGCTACTAATTGTGTTGTTAATTATATTTGTCTGATTAATATTATAGTGAAAAATTATTTTCACCATATTATTTTTACCAGTGTAAGGTTAATGCTGCAAAAGCTACATTCACTTACAAATATAACTGTAAGCACTGATAATTGCATCTCTCACCAATAACTTGTTCTACTAATAATTTGTTCCATATTTTTTTACTTGTAACTTGTTTTATTTTTTACTAGTAATTTATTTCGTCTTGTACTAATAATTGGTTCTATTATTTTCCACTATTACTTGTTTTATTTGAGCATTGTATAATCAGTATAGAACCTCTATTATTCTCTAGTATTGATAAAATACTTTACAGTATCTTATACAATATCAACATCGAGATCATGGTATCGACTATATTAGTACTGATTTTATCATTTAATATTGCTGCTTGGTTGTTTTTTTTTTTGTATATAATTAATTCACAACTTCACAGGCACATTTTTTACTTATCAATTTTCAAAAGAGGCTATGCTACCACACCATAAGGTATTGTGTTGTATTAAATAGATAATGATGGTATCAACATTAAAATATAAGCAATACCACATGATTCAAGACCATCCCTCTTGGTATCCAAAATCCCTCTTAGTATCAACTTATACGATACCAATTATCTAGTGCTTAGTTGCATTTTTATCCACTGATAACTAGGAAAAATTTATTGTTATAGGTTAGATTTTGGAGCGTATTGTCTCTTCTCTAAGAAGAAGTAATAAAACTTCTTTTAGGATTTAGTCATTTATATTTTGCTTTATAAGCAAGAAATTCCTAGTTCAATTCCCATCTTGTCCCTGGTCACACTATACTTGTTTCTCAGCACAGTGACCTTGTTTTTTAAGGTTATTTTGTTAATCTTTGTCAAAAAGCATGTATTTTTTTTGATATTGAATACAATGTTGTCAACTATAAGTTATAATTCAGATGAACTAGCATTCTTAAAATCTTTTAGATTATTGTTATTTCCAGTTTTAGCAATCAGATCTTGCAGCATCTTTTCTTCTTGAATTTTTATGCTTCATTAATTACAAAAATTTGATTACAGCTTGGAATGATACTTGAATTATCAAGAGGCTCAAAGCTGAGAATGGATCGAGATTAGTAATGTTTTGTAATAAAAGTTTAGAGTACTATTGGTAACTTTAAGTGCATAAATAACATACAACAGATAGTGTTCATTTTTTTTTTGCTTTATTTAATTTTTTGGTCTATATTTTTCTTCAGATAAATTTTTTTTTTCCAATAACAATTTCATGATTTTTCTTTCTTTGAATCATTATTTTGTTTAATACATTTTTTTTTGTTAGTATTTATTTATTTAGTTTAAATATTAATTTTTTTTTTTTTTTGCGGGATTCAAATAAATAAATTTTCATTTTTAGGAGTATAAACTTCCTTCAGTTGACTATGCACGTATGATTAGAATTTTAGTAAAGTATTTGCATACGTTTATAAATAGCAAGCATGGTGTTCATGTTGATTTACCTATGGCTCATTTAGCAAGGTTTCATTTAAATTTAATAACAATTTTTTAATAGCTAACTTTGTTTCTTATTTACTTGTTTTAAATTTTAAAGTTACTTTATACTATTTATTTGTTTCAGAGTTATTGTACCTGGTTTGTTTAATAAGAGACTGTATATTTACTTAAAGCTTTGTTTCATGCATTGGCCACTGGACACTTCATTTAGAATGGTAGTTTTATTTATGTCAGTATCTTAAATGAAATGACCATGGACATTTTTTGAATAGATGTTGTAATTTCAATTTACCTAAAATGTTTTGTTTTTAGGTACTTGAAACTTGGCTGAGTTTTATTCAACCATGGCGATATCTTAATTCAAATACATCATCAGATGAAGAAGGGATGGATATAAGCATCTTACCATGGTTACTTTTTTTTTAAAAATATATTTCCAATAATTTATTTTTAGTTTGTTGTTGTTACTTTTGTATTTATGTTTTAAGTTTAATTACTTTTGATATTTTTTTATATTATGACTGTTTGTGATTTGTATTGTGATTGATTTTGTCGTATTATTTTTTTATTTACAGGAAAGCATTTATATGCTCCAACTTTCATTTTTATTCTGTTTTGTTTAAAAAATTTATCACTCGTGCTCAGAGGCATGACTTCATGGCAATTGGTGATGTCATTCTAATATATCGTGTTGCTAAAGTAAATTTTTAATTTGAAATATCTTAACTTACTCAATGAGTGATGGTTTCACTTAATTTTAATTATTATAACTATTTTTATAATAATAATAGTTTTTATTATTAGGGCTGTAAATCCTGGCTCATGTTTGTGAACGGCTCAGTGATCGTCTCGACAAGAGCTCGTTCATGTTCGACTCGAATGGTAAACGAGTCAGGCTTGAACAAAAAATTATGCTCGTTTATTAAACGAGCCGAGCTTGAACATCATAGGCTTGTTCATATAGGCTCGATTAAAGCTCGAATATATATATATATATAAATATATTTATTTATTTATTTATATTATAATAATATATATGTAATAAATAAAATTGCGATATTATATATATTAGTATATAATAAAAATATAGTGTTAGTGTAACCATATGAGATATGACCCATATAACTCTTATTACACTAAATAATTGATTAATATAAACAATTTAATTACAAATTAAATTAGAGTTTTAAACCAGTTGAGCTCGAGCAACATGTAAAACAAGCCGAGCCCAAACAATACTAATCCTTAACAAGCCGTGCTCAAACAAAGAATCTCATGTTCAAAATGAGCTCAAGCCGAGCCTGAACACTCTTAATATGTAAACGAGCGGAGCCGAGCCCTGGCAAGCTTGGCTTGATTTACAGGCCTAATTATTATTACCATTATTATTTTTATTTTTATTATTATTAATATTGTTGTTGTTGTTGTTGTTGTTATTATTATTATTCTTATTATTCTTCTTATTGTTGTTGTTAATCAGCTTTTGTTGTTTTTCAAAAAGCTTACATTTTTATCTACTTGGAATTAGTTACAATAAAAATGTTTAAAAAAAGAAATAATAATACTACAATGGTAATATATTAGAATACAAAACAAATAATTACTAATTAATAAGTTATAATTAATTACTAATTAATAAATTACAATTAATTACTAATTAATAAGTTACAATTAATTACTAATTAATAAATTACAATTAATTACTAATTAATAAATTACAATTAATTACTAGTTAATAAAAAACAATTACTAAGAGGTGCTTACTAAAATTCTTATTTAGTAATTAGCTTATTTAATTCTCTATAAGTTAATTTACTTGTTTTTAGATAATAAAAATTAAGAAAATAATGTCCAAGCAAAAAGAAAACAGGTTAACGAGTTCTATATGAGTAATAAATTGCAAGGTAAAAAGTTGACAGCAAAACAAATTCCAAGAAACACTATCTATGATATAATCAAACTTGCTGAGAATGATTCTGGACACAAAAGAGTGCAAGGAAGTGGCCGTGTGGCTAAAATCATAACCCTCAAGTTGATCAAACAACTGTAAACCATATTTGACCACAGTGACCAAGTTTTGATGAGGCAAGCAGGTTGAAAATTTGAATGCAGTCATTTACTTATCATTAAAACTCTTGCCAAGTACACTGACATCAAAACTTATATGAAACAGGGTATATCTGATTGATAAGAGAGCCGGAATGAGCGAATCAAGATCGGTTCTCACTTCACACTGTTGCACCCAACAATTAACCGAAATAGCACCTACTTCTCTAGCGAAAGAGACAAGACTTCACCAAGTGTTAAATATCGCAAAAGGCACAAGTTTGAACTCGAGCTGCTTGTCTGCCCAGCTACATCTGACAAAGGTATTTCCAAGCCATTTTTCATTCCCAGCAACCTTGCAGTCAATAAAGCCATCTACAAAATGGATTGTATTAAGGAAAGATTAGTGCCGTTCATTAACGCTTATCATGCCGATGGTAATTATGTATTTTGGCTGGTCCTGGCCTCATTGCATTATGCCAAAACCTCATTGCGTTATGACCAACTGCCACGAGACACATAACATCAATTTTGTCAGAAAAGTTGACAATCTGCCAGCCATACCGGAGTGTTGCTCAATCAAATTTCTTTTAGGCTATTTTGAAAGGCAAAGTGTATGAGGGTAACTGGCAAGCAAAAGATGTGAAGCAACTAAAAACCAGAATGATGCTTTTTCTGGAAAAAATTGACCTTAAGATTGTATTTTCACTTTTTAGGTCAACTCATCTTAGAGTTGGCCAAATCAGAAGAAACAGACTGGTTGAAGACAAACTTAATTAAAATAAACAAATAAATAAAAACTGTTTAGTGATATTTTTATTTAATCTCTACCTTAAAAAATTATGGGAGTAATTGCCCTTGAAAGTATGTCCTGATTTTTAGTAACCACCTGTTTATTATTTCCATCATTAAAAAACTTTTTTTGTGTGTGATTTTTTTCATCTCTTTTTCTATTTGGTATTTCTTCTTATGGGTTTGGTTTAGGCTCAGTAATTCCTTTGAAACCACTGAGTTTAATTCATATAACATAATGTGAAAAAGTATAAGCTTAGATGATAAAATGATTTAAGTAAAAATGATTTAATGGAAAATTACCACCATCTATAGTCTTGGAGCTATATGGTTTAAAGCTGTCATTTATTATTTATAATATAAGCTGAACCTCTAAATATCCATTTTTAGTTTTGTGTGTTTACTATATAGTCTATTCTTAAGTTGCAACAGTTATAATCTAAGTTTTTCTTAATGTTAAGATAATATTTTGCTGCTCAGTTATTGAAAAATACCTTTTGAATGTAAGACTATATTTTCTTTGTATTCTTAGTGGCTTCTGATTCTACATTCATGACTTGCTATTTTCATGCTTTTTTTTTTTTCTTTTTCTTTTCTTTATTTTTGTTCTTTTTATTTGATCTTAAAAATGAAACTTTGATCTTGTTTTTTTTTTCTCTTTCTTTTTTAAATTTATAATTTATTTTTGTATCGTGTAGGTTTTTTCACAACCTGGCTTAGTTGATATATTGCATGAAGGTAAGAAATTTTATTATTTATTATTTTTATATTTTATTTTATATATTATTATTTTTTTATTATTAAATATAGTCACAAGTTTAATAATTTTAAATCTTGCTCACAATTTTCACATTTTAGTGAAATATCCTACTACCCTTATAAGGTAGATAACTTCATTCTCTGACACCCAAAATAAGGTAGCTTTCTTTTAAAAAACCATAACCTTTTAAGTTAGCTATATTTAAGTCTTGCTCAATGTATTCATGTGCCTTTACGCTTTTGAAATCCCTAAGTATAGACACATTAACCCCCTTTATACATTTTTCTATTTGTTAAAATAAAATGAAAAGTGATAACTATAACATAAATACAATAAATAGTAATAATTGCTATGTAAATAATAGGTAGAATGTAAACACCTATAAGCATTTTATTTAAGTCAGGAAGTCAAGTGAGACAGATGGAAAGAGTTTAATGTTCTTTTTTTAATGATATTATTTAAAAAAGTAGAATATGAATGTTCATATTAAGAAGTATAAAAAATACCCAGTGAGGACACAACAAAAATAGCTATGACAGAAATAATGCAAACTAAAACCTATTCAATCTTTGATAGCATTGTAAAACATTGTAACAAAGGTATATCAACACAGAAAAAATGTTTATAGGTAGTTGTTTAAATGGCTGGTCTTCGATCAGATTTTAAATGGCTGGTCTTTGATCAGATTTTAAATTATAAAAAACACAAATGTTTAATGACTATTTAATGTTTATAAAATAAAAACTTTAAACATTTTTTGATATTAGAAACTTTTTATTTTTGTTATTTGTCTATTTATTTATAACCATGGTTGTTGAATCTGTTTTAGCGGGAGCCATGGAAATAAGAGATTTTGAAAGGCCTATGTATAAAACTAGTAGTGGTAAAAACCGATTGTGGCTAATAATAGGGTAATATATGGGTAATGTGATAATAATAGTTATATAAAATACATTTGGCATTTGCCATAGTACATCACTAGAAACTGTCTATAAATTTTTCAACTTTGCATTAATTAGTAGTAGGTTTGTAGTAGGTTTCTAGTAGTAGGTTTGTAGTAGGTTTGTAGTAGGTTTGTAGTAGGTTTGTAGTAGGTTTGTAGTAGGTTTGTGGTTTCTATGAACTAAAATCTATTTAAATCATAACTATTATATTAACTAAATCTAAATTTTTGAAATATTAATAAAGATGGAATATTGTTTGTGAATCATTGTACATATTTTGTTTAGAATTTTTTAATTCTTAAAAAATTTGTTCCGTGAGAGAATTTGTAAACACGCTACTGATTTTTGATAACAAAAAAATATTTAAAAAGTCTAAATTAGCAATCTGAGGTTTATAAACAGCTGAGTTTTTCAAGTTTTTTTGTCATAAATTATTCATCACAACACAGTTTTTTATTTTACCTCAAGTTTTTATTACTGCTTGACAATCATAAGTCAGAGAGTTAATTAAGTCATAGACAATCATAAGTCATAGAGTTAATTAAATTAGCAAGAACAAATGTATAATTTGTATAAAAGTAAATTTTGGGCACCCAAATATCTAAGTGGATCATGAGTAGGGAAAAATTGTTTATTTGCAAAAATTTATGGGTATTTGCTTAGCAGTGCAAAAGCATCTTGAATAAATTAATAGTCCTAAAGCATCTTGAATAAATTAATTTTGTTGGTACAATCAAGATATTAAAAAAGATGTTTTATTGGATTTAAATTAGGGCTTTAAGAAGGCCAGTCCAAAAAATTTTTTTTTTTGAATTGGAATTTTTTATAGAATTTGCATGGTGATTTACATGGTTGTCTTGCTGGAAAATCAAACTAGAAAGGATTTTATTCTTTTTATGTGGCAATACAACATTGATTTCATTTATGTATACACTGATCTAATCCGTTAGACTTTTAATCCCCAAACCATTATTATGCTATCTTAAAACTAAATCATTAAGTTAAATTGATCACATTGGTTAATTAATGTGAAGCTTTTCCTCCCATGAATTCTAGTATCAGGGTAAAATGTGACAAGGGGTTGGGGTAAAATGGGACAAATCAGAAAAAAAATTTCTGAGCATATTTTTATTGGCTGTTCTACTCATTATAAAAATAGTGTTTACGGTTAATCTGTAATGATTAACTATACAATGGTTACCTGTAACATGCTGTAAGCTATATGGGTTTTAGAAGCTGTAAGAGCTTCAGTACTTGCATGGACTAATCTATGGAGAACATGAAAAGGAGTTTCTGCTATGGGTATGGGGTAGCGATAGGTTTCTCACTCCTTATTTTTTTCTTTATTTTGTAACAAAAATCATATATATATATATATGATTTTTTTTATACACGGTTATTTATATATATACACAGTTAGCACAGAATATAATGCCTACCTAGCTGTCCCAAGAATGCCACTTATACGGAAACTTAGCGTACACATCAAGGTACCCTGTGATGCAAATTTTGAAATCATTTAGTTTTGGCCGCGGAAAATAATTTAATTTGAATATTCAAATTGAGTCAAATTTTGACTTCCTTGTGCGCCAATAAAACTTGTAGAATTTGAACCACTCAATATAATTTGATAAAAATTGGTGCAAATGTAGCCAATAGTCACACCAAACTCTGGAAAAAATTTCAGCCTGATTGGATGACTGGTGTAAGATTTATTGCAGTTTAGTCAGTTTTTTGCTACTTATACCTCAAAGCGTTACATATTACTTTGAAATTCGATCACTATTTTTAAAATAACGGTTACATGAGTGTTCTACTATGTAATACCAACAATTTTTGTTATAATTATTTTATTGGTACATGTACAGTTTTCATTTTATAGACCAAAATAGTGATTTTCTACTTAAAGCGTGATTTAAATAGTCTAATGCTAATAGTGTCGACACGGCCTTCAAAGTGGAGCGGGTCAACCTCTCAATTTCTAAAATAAAATCCATAATTTCTAAAATAATTGCCTATATTTCTAAAACAAAAGGTCCTCGCAAAAAAAAAGTAGAGCAGAACATGACTCCCTTGCCTCCTCGGCGTTGACGGCCATATATACCAACATTTCCTAAGGTATAAACTGCTGCCAAAAAAAAAGCTAAAAAGAAGGGCAAAACCTGGTCAAAGGACTACCAGTTAGTAAACAAAAAAAAAAAAAAGTAGATCTCCTAAAATATTTTGTATTGACCTTCTTAAATACATTTACTTTCAAAATGAAGTGAAAACTATTCAAACCCCAATTTTTACATTGTATTACCATCAAATATCTAATTACATTTAAAAAAATGTTTTTTTGATTTTCTCCACCAAAAGATTATTAATAAATAGCTCAATATACTCTTTTAATACAAATACTCTATAATACTACTTTTAAAGATGGTAAAAATATTCATTATACGCCGTAAAATATGAATTTCAGCATCATAATTTCTAATAACTCAAATGATGTTCTTTAAAGATGCTTACTGTTTAGATCAATTATGCAGCGTAACAATCTTTCTTTGTACTCTGGATGATTATTATTTCGCTTATACCTCGACCAATGTTGATAAAAATCTTGATGAGAAGTTTCGACAGTTTGTTCAAAATAGGGCCCCAAGGGGGATCCTTTGTGACTGGTGAAATCCTTGATGTAGTAGAAGATGGCGTGAATTTTGGGCGTTACGCTTGCACCAGTTATCATTAGGTTAGACTTTTTGAAATTTTCAATTTCAAAAAGTCTAACCTAATATTGGGAACCATGTTTGTGTCAGCAAGTTGCTGCAGCATATCCACATTTTTAAGAAGCTTCCTGCATTCATTTCCCTTAAACTGGCCCCTGTGATACAGGCTCAGTTGAATGGGGAGAGCAGCTGGCCACTTAACAGCTTCTAGCCAAGCAGTTTTAAGGATCTTGAAAAGATGGTTGACAACTCTTAAGGTGGTTTACCAGGAAATAAATTTTTTTTGTCAAATTGAATTTTTTTTTCAGAATATTAAATAAAATAGTTCCAATAGCGAAATTTAGTTACTAGTTATGAAAAAAATTTGAATTTCTGAAATTTTTTATAAAAAACATCAAATTTTAGCCGAAAAAGGCATTAAACTGTACACATGGATGAAACAAGAAAACTCAAAGATAAATTATCTTTTTCTTTCGAAATTTTGCACAAATAATTTTGCTTATATTATCTAGTTCCTGAACTAAAATGAAGTTCATTGCACAAGTAGAAAGGTCAATTATAAAAATTTACTATAACATATACTACTTTTCAGGGGGTCTACATGAAAAAATCATGAACAATGAGTAATAACACTGTAAATAGAGCACCTTATGTCTTGATTTTAGTTCAGTCTCCAGATCTAAGTTGTAACTGCAAATGCTGAAAATTTCAGCTCCATATCTTAAACCGATCTGGAAATAACTTGTTCCACGTAAAGGTAAATAGCAAAAAATGACATATTGAGAAAACAGCATTCTAAAAATATAAAGATAAAAAACAGTTTAAAAACTTCCAGAAACGATTTTTTAGCTTCAAGTTCTAGTTCTTTATCAAACCAGCCTTTAGATAATCCCCCTAATTAAATTCTTCTTTTTTTAACAAAAGTTTTTTCTTTTCTCTCTATATTACTAACACGACGCTTGTCCTTTTTCAATGAACCGGTTACAGTCTTACCACTGTGTGGTATATTTAGATACTCAGAACTTGTTCCCAGCGAATGTCATCTTCACTTTTCTTAAATGATTTTTTTTATTTCCCATTACTTTTTATATTAGCTATATTTAAATAAAAAAAGAATTAAAATCCATAAACAACTTCATTAGTAAAGGTAAACATAAATATTAAGTTTTGTCATTTATTCATCTCTTATATAACACTGAAAGTAAATGTAGTTTGTTTATTTTTTTTTTATCTACGGTATAGAACAGACTTAACCATCATACTAAAATTCAATTTTTTGAAAAGTATGCCAAGTATACAAAAATTAGTCGAAAACAAGAAAGAAAAGTGTGTTGATAGGGGCCGTTGCTATGGAAAATTATTTTAACCACCTCGTTTAAATCTTAAAATAAAGCTTTTGTGTTTATTTTTCTGAAAAACAGATTTCAGAAATGAATTCAGGGATAATTAATTATCTTAAAACAATCTAAAATGAAAATTTGAAAAATTTGAAAAATATAAACTTTATTTCCTGGTAAACCATCTTAAGAGAAGATGCAATTCATCAGTGGAATGATTTCCAAAATCAGAACATTGACAGGCCTGCAGATGATTGGCTTTCGAATGACATTGCCAAACAGCTTTGCATTAGCAACAACCTCGCCAGATTGCTGAAAAGACTTAAGACTTGAATTAATTGAGTCCAGTATTCGCAAGTTTCCAGATTTGGCAAGACAATTGGATTTGACTTCACACCAGGTGCAAGGGTGTGTACTTGAATGAGTTTAAAGACCACAAATTGTATTTGCAACTTTCATATCACTAGCCAAAATTAGTTTAACTCCATTTTCATTAGTCAGTGACCAGATTTGTTCAATATTGGAGTGTGGTTCTGGCATATCTTATGAAACCCCAACAATAATTTGTCTCTTGACTCCAGTGTCTTTACCAGTCCTTTTAGTGAGAGGTTGTTGTTGGTGCGGTGAGCAGGTTTCATCCCCTAACGCAGTATCAACAATGCTTAGGCAAAACTTGAGAAAACCTTTGCCACCATCAATTCCGAGCTTAACAAAATAGCCAAAGAAAATTTTACAGGACTGAATAACATGATTCACAAAAATTGATAAATCATTGCAGTGAGCAACAACATGAACTGTACAAAAGTCTGTTTTTTCGTTTGTGATTTTTAAGTCGCTGCAGGTGAAGAAATCGCTCAATTGTTGACCTAGTTTTAGAAAATTCATGTAGAAATTTCGCTCTACCATCTTGCTGCTTGTTTTGTTTATAGTTCTAACAAGTTTCTTTAATCCGTTGTTTGACAGGCCCGCATTTAATTACACATTTGCAAGGGCTACAGTTGTCAATTTCAGAGCACTTGATGGTGTCTGCACACTACTTTGACCTAAAACCAAAACATACATAATTTATAGTTGCAATAAACTTTGTTTAGTAAGTTTGTGTAAAACTTTTAAATTATTCGTTTTTAAAGAAATTAGAAACTTGTCAAAAATATACTTCTAGAAATCTATCTAGTGTTATTTCTTAATAGTCAAGAATTTATTTCAATATATATGTTAAAATTATTTAAGTATAAATATTTACCAGGAGTAACTGTAAGTGGAGGCCCGCCGGATGCTTTAGCCAGTAGAATAGTTCCTTCCGAAGATAATTCTTTATTGGAAATAACTTGAGATGCGATTTGTTCGGATGATTTGTCATCTTTTGCTGCTAGAAATTGAATGTTTTCTTTTTTTTTTTACAAGGACCTTTTCTTTTAGAAATATATGCAATTATTTTAGAAATTATAGATTTTATTTTAGAAATTGAGAGGTTGACCCTCTCCACTTTGAAGGCCGTGTCGACACTATTAGCATAAGACTATTTAAATCACGCTTTAAGTAGAAAATCACTATTTTGGTCTATAAAATGAAAACTGCACATGTACCAATAAAATAATTATAACGAAAATTGTTGGTATTACATAGTAGAGCACTCATGTAACCGTTATTTTAAAAATAGTGACCAAATTTCGAAGTAATTGGTAACGTTTTGAGGTATAAGTAGCAAAAAACTGACTAAACTGCAATAAATCATACACCAGTCATCCAATCAGGCTGAAATTTTTAGTAGTAATTGAATTTAAAGTGTCTTTTTTACTGACATCACATCTACTGTCTTATTTTTGATCGCTAGTTTTAGGGTTTTGTTGGAGCTGCAGACAGCGCTATATTGTTAATATTCCTATATTGATGAATGACAACACTGAGTCCTCTACTTTATGTTTTTTTGGAGTATCACTACTGAATCCTCATGGAAACCATTTATAACATCAATTGCAAATTTAGCTATGCATCAAAAATGTAGTTAGACCTTTTAATAATCTAGTTTTTTTCTTTACACATCAATACTTTATAACTCATTTTCATGTTTTCCCAACTTATACAATTTAGAATTTTTTTGTTCTTCTGTCAACCATTTTTTTTGTTCGCAAACCACTTTCTTGCTATTTAACACTATCACCCAACTTGAATAAACAACACTATCATCCAACTTGAATAAAGAGTTTATTCAAGTTGGATGCATTCTTGTTTTGAGTGAATTAAAAAATAATAATAATAACAGTCATCTGTCTTTTTTATTTACTTAGGAGATTCAGATACAATAAGAAGTCATGTTCGATCACCACTTTCCTCTACGCCTCAATTTGGTGGCTTATTGAGCCCTGTTTGTTTAGAGAACAGTGCTGAGATGCAGCAGCCATTGTTTGGGAATGAAAGTACAAAAGCTGTAAGTGATACTGATCTGACAAATCTTGTTTTATTCATGTATTATTATTTACTGCCAATTTTATTTATCTGCTGTTTAATTTGTTTTAGTTAAACTTCAAATATTACTGTCTTAGAACCAGAGTATTTTAATTCCATATTATATAAATGTCCAGGACAGCATTATCTAGTTACACCTAGTCGATACTTGAAGATCAATTATGAGCATCAAAATAAGGAAGCATTTTTCATTAAATAATATACATAGGGTTTCAAAGATACTGTTTGAAATTTTTTTTATTTATTTAGATATTAGTACAAAGGTCAAAGATAACAAATGGATTTTGAACATTTTATGTGAAATGTTTTATAAAATAGGAAAAAGTGTTCTAACTCAAAAAAAAAAAGGATGATTGTTTGGGAATGATTACAGTAAAGAATGTATAAAGTGGAAATACACAGTCTAATTCTTATTTTCTACAATGCAATCAATACATAATATATAAAGAGCAGCATAAGCATTAGTACAGTGTAAGACCCATGTAAGATAAGAACAAAACCAAGTTATTAAAATATGTTTGAAAATAACCATATTGGTAGTGTTTAGGTCAAAAATAACAATATATATTCTGTACAGCTAAATTTTATTAGTTTACATTTAGAAAGATAGGTTAGGTATGTTCAACTTAACATTAAAAAAGCTGCATCTATAAACACCACTACATAAAATTGAAAAAAGCATTTCCCCTCCAGATTGAGATTGTACCATATACTGATTTTTTTAAGATGATTTCTTAGAACCTGTTGTCAGTTGTTGCAAAGAATTTGTAAAGTAATTTGGTCAAAGTTTTGGCGGGCTCCGAATGGATTTAGCTTGTGGAAGGTTTAAAAAACCACACCTTGTTACTTAATGTAATGGGACTTCCAGAAACACTGCATCTGAGTTTAAAGTTAATTTATATTTCACTTTCAAATTACCTTTGCGGTCAGAAAATTGCTTTATTTTTGAGTATGGCACTTTATCTATACCTGCTATTTTTGAGACAGTCTTGAAATTTTTTGTAAGGCTTTTTTGCGTCACAGTGACAGGGCTTGAAATCGGGCGTTGTCCGGCACTTATCCGGTAAAAAATGATATCTATCAGTCATTTTGTCCAACCCATATTTTGTGTGCATTTATTTTATAATCATTTTAGCTGTTCCAAAATTATTAATAAATTCAGTAGTGAATATAAACTTTATTTTTTGAACTTTTTATTTTTTTATACAAAACAGAAAATGAAGTTGAACACAAGCTACGTTTATAAAAAATGTTTTTTTTTTTGAGCTAATTCATTTTTTAAAAGATACCTAAACTAATTTTTTTTTGAATTAGTTAATATTTAAATTAAAATGTTGCAATTAATTTATATTTCAGTATTGTTTTATTTTTTTCTGATGGTTTTTATGAATTTCAAACGAATATTTTAGCTTTTAAAACCCCTTTTAAATTTATTTTATAAAAACATTAACGTAATAGTTTTTTAATGTAATGTAACCAATACTTTTTATTATACTGTTAAATTTGAGTTATGTTACATAGCAATTGTTTTTGCGCTAAGGTTTTTCTCTATTAAAAATGTTTATAAATGTAATCATAGAAAAAGTTTGAAAAGATACATCAAAAAATACATGTTTATATAAATGTAATTACGTATAATATTCCTTGATAACTTAAATAAAATGGGCTTATTGTGAACAACCATTAGAATTAAATTGTTACTTAATGAAGTATTAAAAAACATAATAACTTATGTATTGAATATATTTATAATAATTTATAAAGCATTTCGCATTGTATAGTATTTTTCTAAAAATGTAATAAAAGTATATTTTGATTTTCAAATAATAGTTTTTTAAGCTTTGATTTTTTTTAGATAAGTTATCTTTTAAATTTTATTTATATTTTTAGTGCATTTTTCAAATGCCTTAAGTTGTCAAAACAAACTGCTGTGGTCAAGTTGAAAAAATATTCTAAGTGTGTCAAGAATGGTGTTGGATCGCATTTCTTTAGGTTTTATTGGACATGTCTGCTAAACTTGAGTATTTATAGAACAATTTGTCCGAAACAAAAAAGTTCATTATTTCAAGCCATGCAGTGAAATGATTGCTTTTAATGATTGCTAATGGGCTATGAAATTCCACATTCTTCAGACTTTTATATAAAATGCTATGGATTGTGTACACTTTCTTGGAAACAACCTTGCTCTGGTTCCTTATACTTGTGATCATATTGTTTTTGGATTATTTTTTCACATTATTATTTTTAATTAGTTCAGAAAATTCTAAAATAGCTGAGCTTGTTATACAATTACTATTTTAAGGAACACCAACTTCTGTTTACAATGCTAGTAATCTCTGTCCTGTTTTGAACTATTTTATAAAGCATAACTGGTAATTCCCCCCTTTACCCGCCACTGCATTATTCCAAAGCATGCATTAACCTTGTTTTTAATCCACATTACAGCATGTCATGTTATTCACTGCAAATTAATGTTTGTAGTAAAATATAGATCTGGCGGTTAGTAGGGGAGAATGGGAAGATGTGGGAATGCAGGAGAATTGGGACAGCCTGAAATTTCTAATTAGGAGTGGTGCTTAAATACTGTTATTTAACGTAAACAATTAAATTTCTTTCCCTCTATATAGCAAAAATCGCTTTGTTTCCTAGTGTGCGCTAGAAGCCCTAATTTTGAAATATATCTTAAAAAAGTGTTTACATTGGGGTGAAGTGGGACAGAAAAAAGGAATATTTATGGGGGTTGAATCGGTGTCTAAAAAGTAGGTTTATTAGTAAAAACTCATTTGGTTCAGTTTATACATCAAATAAAAAAATATTGCAATAACCTTAAAAAAAAATTTACATGTCCCACTTCTCCTAACTCTCCCCTACACATCGTCATAGTAATTTTTTTCTTTTTCCTGATTCACTCCCAACAAGGCTGCAAGCAACACATCATCATAGTAATTTTTTTCTTTTTCCTGATTCACTCCCAACAAGGCTGCAAGCAACCACTATTAAGTTCAGAGTTACTAGAAAAAAAGAATCGAGTTATAGAGCAAGGAAATGGTTGACAGTAGACTTGAAAAGGTGAAGGTTGTATGAGTCAGGAAAATATGTGGTAGAGAGTTCTAAAGGGGGGGGGGGGGAATTCCAGTCAGGTACGATGCGATTAGTGAAGAAAAATTCTCAATGGGCACAGTTAGCTAATGCTTGGCGCTAAATTCGATGACACTGCCCTCAGAGGTTATTTGCAGGTCCCTATACATTAATACTGCAGCTAACTGGTTTGGTCTCTGGAGCTCAACAATGTTGAGGCCGTGGCACATCTTGAAGTATTGGATGAAGTCACCTCTACACTGCTATCATCTAGAGATTGAATATTTATAGCGGTTAGTCTTATAATACTTTAAGGTTCTGAGATCTTGGTTCTTGAAGGCACAAACTTAGTGGCTCTTTCTTGCACTGCTTCGAGAGCATCAATGTCTCGGCAATAATAAGGATTCCATGCGGAAGAACAGAAGATGTGGTTGTACATAAGCAGGGTGTTACCCAGGAAAAAATTTCATACAGCGTTTTTGCGAAATTGGGAATTTAGGTGCAGTTGGAAAAAAAAAAAAAAAAGTCCTTACATTCTGCAATTAAATTTTAATCAAAATAAATTTTCTATTTTTGCTGGGAGTTACATTTACAGCAGGATTATTTTTCTACTTTATATATGTTTAATTTTAATTAATCAACTTTTTTCATTATGAGCAATCTTCTAAAGTTTTCATTTAAATCGCTTCTTTTCTTTGTTTTTGATATACTGCAGCTGTTTTTCAAAACGCCTTAATTACGTATTTCAAGAAAATCGCAATTAAAAAAAATTAAAAAAAAAAAAAAGAAAAATCTAAACTTGAGAATAAGTGACGTCAATAAAAATTAAAAAAAAAAGTTTTTTTTAAACTTTAGAATGAATGATCTTGTTAAGGTTAAAGACGCTAGTTTATGACGGCACATTTTACACATTAAAAAAAATCAATCAATTTAATTCATTTTTGTCATGCATACTAATTTTTACTAGTCTAGCGCGACACTTTAAATCTGAGACTGAATTAATTTTTTTTTTTTTTTACTATGATCTTATAAACCTTTGGGAATTTTAAACCAATTGGGAATACAGCGTTATTCGCGGTGCCATCAGGCTGGGTATCACCCTGATAAGTTGTATAAAGTATGCAAAAACTAATAATATCCCAATAGTGGAAGGTTTTTTTTATGACTTTGATATGACAGTATTCCATACAGGGACAAATAAGAGATTTGTAGAGGTAGAAAATGGAATTAGCAGATTTGTATATATTGTTTCATTGTTTGTATATATGATTTCAAAGGTCAGTAGTAAATAATAATCCAAGAAGGGGTAAAGAAGAAGACTCAGTGAGAAGGTTGTCATTCATTAATATAGGAATGTTGACATTATTGCAATAATTGTTTGCAGTAGATAACTAAGTTTTGTTGGAGTTAAAATTTACAAAGCGCTGTGAGCCTCAATCTGTTACAAATGTGATATTAGATTCATGATTGGCTGCCTATCCTAAGCAATTGAAAAGATAAGACTTTTTGTCAAGACAGGAGTACAAAGTTGAGCAAAATCGTCAGCAAAAAAAGCTACTTTGGATGTAAAATTTTCGGGAAAATTATTAATGTAGATAAGTAACAAAACAGGACCAAGAGTAGAATCTTGAGGTACCTCAGAAGTTACTGGAAATGAAGTAGAGTGTTGGCTTTGAGGGATGACTTTAATAAAGCGATTAGAAAAAAAAAATTTGTGATCCCAAACCCTTTCCCAGATACACCATATGGAATAAGCTTATGGACCAGACCAGCATGACAAACTTTGTCAAAAGCCTTAGATATGTTAAGAGCATTAGTCCTAGCCTCTCCGCCTCTATTTAATGCATAAAATCTTTCTGTCACAGCTAGTGATCAACCAAAATT